ATATGTATTTGCTTACTCGCCTTACTGCCTGCCGGTGTCGCTCATTCCACGTGGAAATGGTTCCTCGTTTGGTTGGTTGTTTAGTGATCGCCGATCGTTGTTCAATGTTCCAACTAAGTAGATGTACATATGTATGTGCATACACCAATGACGTGACACACTTGTTGCAGGCTTTAGCCGGGAGTCCAATTGTTCATTTTACACGAAAACAGTTTTGCTTATTTTAGTAAGCATGTGATATCTATGATGTAGTATATATGTGCATTAGGGTGTACCTATCACTCTCAAAAAAAAAAAATCGGTATTGTTTTCCATCAGATATATAAAGTGTATTATATTTCAAGACTTGTGCCAAAATATTTCGGCAAAATATTAAGATTTACGTTAACTGAACTTATTTAGAAATACCTGCACAAATGGATTTTTTTTATAAACACAGCAATGTAGTTTTTAAAAATATTTTTTCGTAAACATATTTTAAATTTTTATTAGCGGAATTAAGTGAATGAGATTTTTGTAGGTATTTTCAAAAGGATTTGCGTGAGATCCTAATATTTTGCCGAATTATTTTGGCGGTAGTCTTTTTTTGGCGATTCACCCTAATGTACATACATATTTTCATACTATACATATGCTTGTAAGCTGTTAGACATACTAAAATAAAAATCACTTTACATGGCTGAAACACTTGTTCGTGCTTCTAAGAATCACGTATTCACGCCAATTTTTAGCCTGAAGGAAAATTACTTGTAATTAGCGGTTTCTAGTTATTTGCGATTTCTTATTATTTATGTGCTTCCTTTAAGTTATTTTCCTGTATTCCACCGCTTTTGAGTTCTTTGAACATAGGCGTACGTGTTCTGAGGGGATTACCAATGGCAATGCTATGTAAAATCTCTGTAAATCTGGAAAATCACAACTTATTGCAAGTAACAAAAGTCTAGTCTGTCAAGCTCTCGCCACTTAGCTTAAAAACAATCGCTTACGACTATGACAACAACACAAAAAATCCTCATCTTCCTCTTCGCTCGCACTAAGATAACTTTCATACAAATTCATTTGTTTACGACTGTCTTCGTCTTTAGCTTCGCATAGCTTCCACTCTATTTTTAACCTAAGTTGACTCGATCAAACCCTTCAAAGCTTACTTCTCAATAGGATATAATTCTTGGTAACCCTACAGATCGATATATCCTAGCTCTTCGTGGATGATGTTGAACAAAGATGAAAAGGCTTTGGGAACTTTCGAAAGAACAATTCTCCGAAAGATCTATGGCCCTATTCGCGTCGGGCCGGGTACTGAAAAAGCGGCAATGACAAGCAGTAGGACATGCTTAAACGCTAAAAAATACAACGTATGACAATCCGATGAAAAGATGCTTCCACTCGGCATCGGCAGGTAGACAACGAAAGCACCCACGAGTACTATAGAAGGACTAAGTGCAGAAGGGCTTCTGTACACTTGGGAGGAACAACGGGCGATTTTTTTTTTTGTTTAACCCAAAACGACAAACGGTCGTAGTGCGAAAGACAAAAAAAAAATAATAAAATAAGTCCCTAAAAATTAAAAGACATTAAAAAACAAAAATTTGAAAATTTGCGTTTTAAAATAATGTACACAATTAAGAAAAATAAATAAAATAAAAAAAGAAATAAAATGAAATAAGCTCGTAAAAATGCAAGGAAATTAAAGTAAAACATATTTATTTTTAAATCAATAAAAATTAAAAATAAAAAAAAAATAAAATTTAAAAAATTAAAAAAAGATAAACAAAATTAATGGAAAAGAGAAAAAATATAATATTCGTAAAATTAAATGGAATTTAAGAGAAATATTTTTCTTACAACAATAGAATATAAAAATTTTATCTATAATAAAAAAAGTATAAATGTTTAGAAAAACGTTACATATTATTTTCTTTTTAAAATAATAAAATCTAAAAACTAAAGGAAAATGTAAATTAGAAAAAAAACAATAATTAAAAATATGCCGCTACCCCAGATCTCGACCCCGGATTTCTTGAGTAGCGCGCCAGTGCTTTGCTCACTCGGCCATTGCGATTGTCGGAGCAGCGGAAGCAAAATAATATACAAGCGCTTTCTGTCAAAAGAGCTTTTCACCATAAAAGTTGGCAAGGGAGCCATTTTTGTAGAATTTCGTGCTAGAATAAATAAAATCTTTCAAACTGTCTTGTCTTCCAAAAGACTTTTAACTATTTCATTTATTGGAAATGTCTACAAAAAAGCCCAATGACTATTCACAGATAGAGTGAAACTCTCTATCGTTTAGCTCAGTGACTGTGCGCTCTAAACTAGTCTGAAGAAGACCTGATTTCTCAATCAGTCAGCGCTTTCCGATGAAGTACATAGGTAGCGAACCATATGTGGGAGGACATTGAAAGTAAATACATACATGACAGCTGTAGCTTCATCGAACAAGTACACGAGAATTATCTTGTCTGCCTATATGTTGCTTTTCGAGAAATTAGATCTGGTCATCTCAATAAGATTAACAATAAGTCAATTGTAATTGAAAGCTGATTATGAACAAACGTGGAACAGTGACGTTCCAGAGACCATTTTGGACGGACCTACATTTATCGTTAAACCCAATGAGTTGGAAAAAAAATAAAATCTAAGTACAGGTCTCTTAGAGAATGGGTAGCGTAATATTTTGAAGATTATTTACAAAATCCCTAATACTGCAGAACTTTCCAATAACTGACTCATATAAAATGACTCATAAAAGTATCAATAACATTCACAAAAGCTTCACCAACCGCTTAGCTAATTGCCAAAGGAACGTTATGATCACACTCAACGTTCACGGTTTAAAGCAGTTATTTAAAAATACATGTTATTAAAAACAAAAGACATGATACTAAAAGAATTTCTAAGCTGTGTTGAATGCTACAAAAAAAAAACAGAAACAGACAACTACAACAACTGCTACAAAAAAAAAACAGAAACAGACAACTGCAAATGTATGTATAACGAAAAGAGCAGTTATTAAACACATTTGCAAAAAAGGTGTTTTTTATAACAAAAAATCTATCATTTGAATGCCAACACTTAAACGGTATTGAAAGCATTGCACACAATTCACAAATACTGTGGGATAATTATGAAAAATATAATGAAGACATACATATGAAATGATCATTACTCGATACAAACCTGCTTTCAGTCTTGGTTTTAAGTAATCAATGTTTATGTGTGAACCTAAATATTTTTAGTTGGCTGCGAAGTGTGGTGAAAACATGTTGTTAGTTGTGGGTGTGATTTGTGTGTGCATAACCACTGTCAGTCAAGGTATTTAGAACGTGGGAACTTATTGTTGGTGTTGTTATAGTCACTTAAAGTGGCTTGGGTATTCATAGCTTGATTATTTATTATACATCTTTATGCACATACTTAAGTGTATTTTAGAAATATTTTTTTTTTGCTTATTTATCAATCTGCATGCAGGCCGCAAATTTTAATTGCAAACCCACCTGTTAGCTGTTCTTTGATTTTAATATATTTGCGTACTTTCTATGCTTTTATTCTTTGCTTGTGTGTTTGCCATTGCATTTGTTCGCCTTATCAGCGCGTAGGTTTTGTTTTTTTTTAATATTATTTTTAAAACACTACTCGCTTCGCAATTAATTATCTCTTTGATATGCATTTAAAAAAACATGTGTGCCTGTGTTTTGTTTTGTTGTTGTTGTTGTTGAAAGTATTTTTTTGCTATGCTCTTTCGCGAATTTCTTGTGCTCAGTCAGTCGTTCACTGATCGCTTGCTTATATATATGTATTTACTCTTTTCGCCACGCTTTCACGCACAATCTCACGCTTGCTCAATTGCTCGCTGCAACTTGCGTGCTGCTCATTTTACTTTGGCTTTTTTTACATTAACTTTCACAGCTGTTTTTTGATTTGAAATTTTTGTATATTCGCTGAATGTCCCTTGTGTATTATCAGTTTGCTTCGCTCAAATTTTCTTATCAGTTAGCTGCTCACTACTTTCAATGATTTTGCAATCGGAGCTACATCCCATTTCCTTACCGCTATTTCTAGAGCCTATTTACCGCTTCGTTTAGCTTTCAACTTCACTTTCCTTAAATTTCCTTCCGTGGTTCTCATCCGCCTTTCCTCCACCCTGTTGGCTCAGAAGGCATTCCTTCTCTTTCTCTTATTTTATTAACCGTTTTATCGCCCCATCCTTCAAGTTTCAACTTCACTTTCTATCACCCTTTTAGAGTCACACCAAACCCCCTCTGTTATTTTGCAGGGATCGATTTGCCATGAATGATTCACGATATGTATATTAGTGTGCCTCACAAAAAAAAAAAAAACAATCGGTTATTCCACCGGAGTTATACGTAAAGTTTATAAGACTTCCACCAAAATATTTCGGAAAAGTATTAACATTTAAACGAGCCAGACCGATTTGAAATGCATTTTCAAAAATCTCAATAATTTGATTCCGTTGATAAAATTTTTAAATATTTTTAAGCAGTATTTTTAAGCTTCAACTCTTCTATAATCTTTGGTGATGTTTAATAAAAACTAATATTATTTATAACAAAAAAAAAATGATTTTTGGAGGTATTTTCTAAAAATTTTTTTGTAGGGAGTGTGATACACCCTAATGTACAAGTTTTTTTTTTTTGTGGAAATCACTTTCATTTCATCTTAATTTTTTTGTTGTACTCGTATTGTGTGTTTGGTGCCGTAATCGTGTTGGGCTTTTGCGTCGTTTCGCTCTGGCTGCCTTGTCGCAGTATTTACGTTTTAGGGGCTCTCCCACATGTGCTCGCTTTTCAGTTCGATTTCGTCCACTCAGTCAGCGCATTTGGCCACCACCTACAAATTTTACGAGCTGTTTTTTTTTTCCTTTCACCGCCTACTCAATTCAATGCTGCTGTGGTCAATGAAAAATAATTTGTTTCCTTTTAATAAAAAATACCTTTTGAAAAGTGTAAAAAATTTACAGTTTCCTTTTCTTCTCATTACAGGAATATTTGAAAAACATGTACAACGTTTGAAAGGAAAAAAAGGAAAACGGACTATTAATCGGCTTGTAATCGAAGAGGAGACACAAAAGTGACGCATCATAAAATTTCGGCAGCTGCTGAAAGGCTCAAGAATTTCTTGTATCCTTATAACTTAGAAGGCACTGCAAAGATCTATCAAACCCAATTGCGACCGTGCTGTACACCACGCATTGGCTAATCAACGTTTCTGCTGGCTACATAGCCATAGGCTGGCGCAATTACTCACACATTTTTCAAACATAATTTTTGACTCCTCAGCGTTGTTGGTGGGTTGTGAGTAAATCACAGCCAATCATCATCATATATAAAAAAAAGGCTTACAAATGAAGATGGCATCCCAAAGATTTTGCCTTCGATGGAATAACCATCAAAGCAATTTACTATCTGTATTCGATCAGCTATTGCACGCTGAAACGTTTACGGATGTCACGCTGGCCGTGGATGGACAATATTTGAAAGCACACAAGGTAAGTGTTTGGATGCTTTTTTTGTTAAGAAATTAATTTTTGGTTTTCTCATCACCCCCCCCCCCCCCCCACCTAGATGGTTCTCTCCGCCTGCAGTCCTTACTTCAATGCGCTATTTGTCAATCATCCCGAAAAACATCCCATTGTCATATTAAAGGACGTACCCTATTCCGATATGAAATCCCTGCTTGACTTTATGTATCGCGGCGAGGTGTCTGTCGATCAGGAACGTCTTACCGCCTTCTTGCGTGTCGCCGAATCGTTACGCATCAAAGGTTTGACCGAAGTGAATGACGATAAACCGTCACCGGTCGAACCGACGCCACCGCCACCACAGCTACAACGCATTCAACCATATTTGGTGCAACAACAACAGCAGCAACATCAACGCAGCAAATCACAGAATAGCCTATTGGCTGGCGGTTCAAGCGCTGGCGCTGGTGGTTTGGCTAGTGCCGCTGCATTGGCTGCTGGTGGTGGTCAACAACAACAACAATCGCTGCTTAGCTCAGCGCTGGCCTCGATGCCGAAACGTAAACGTGGCAGGCCACGGAAATTGTCGGGCAGCTCGAATGGCACCGGCAATGATTATGATGAATTCGAACGCGATGGCATGATGAATGTGAGTGAAGGTTGATGGTTGTATGGAGGAAAATTGAATAATTTCTAACCTCTTTTTTTTTTTTGTTTGTTTATTTTTTCCTTGCAGGACTCCGAGATGGGCGATTGCAAAATGGGCGATTCATATTCGGGCAATGATGATGGCTCGGATGATAATCAACGCGATTGTGGCGATATGCGCGACCCTAGTGTAAGTAGACGGTACTTTTATATTAAAAAAAAAAAACAATTTCTACATACTAAATTTTAAACTGGTTAGACAGCAGTTGACTAATTTTTCAACGGTTAATGGGAGGGATTAAAGGTTAATCGGTATTAGAAAAAAAACAAGTTGAGCAGGAAATTATGACAGTAGTATTTTTAATCGTGTTTGTGGAGTTTTTTTAAACGTCGTTTGAAAAGATTTAAAATGTTTAGCTATTTAAATATGTACATATAAAATTTTTAGCTATATTTTGAAGAAGAATTACGCAAATAAAAGCCTTTAAAAAAGTAATAGACGAAATATTACACTAAAATAAGTTATCACGTAATTTTATTTTTAAGTGCAACTTGAGCACAACAATTATTTGACATCAAAATGCATAGAGAACAACTTCAGTTAAAAATAGAGCATCGAATATCTGCCTACTATGGAAGAAAAAATTTAATGCACTTTTAATTTCCCATTTGACGAGCTGTACAGTATTGAAGGGTATACTGGAATAATAAAAATTACACTTTCGTGAAAAAATTTCGTTAAAAAAAAAATGCACCTTATTTAATTTTGACTTATGCCACTTTTTCAAAGATAATTGCTAATTTATTTTGTACTTTTCCATA